CGGGAAGGGCGGGGAGGGCAAAAAGGGGTGTGTACTAAACCCTTAAATCATTGCCTCATCGGCGAGGGAGGGTATAGGCTGAGGAAGGGGGTTTGGGGGGGAGGGGTTGGGGGAGCGGGTGGTGTGGCGGGCGGCGGGTGTGAGGGGTTGAGGAGGGAGGGGTGGGGGGGTGGGGGGTGGTGGGGGGGGGGGGTGTAAGAGGGATGTGGGGGAAGGGCGAGGAGGGGTTAGGGGGTGGGGGGGTGGGGGGGTGAGAAGGGGAGGCGGGGTGTGGGGAGGGGTAGGGGGGGGTGGGGGAGGGGGCGGGAAGGGCGGGGAGGGCGGGGAGGGCGGCACTGGAGCTTTTAAATCATTGCCTCATCGGCAAGGGAGGGTAAAGGCGGAGGGGGGGGCGGCAGCAGGTGGGGTAGGGCAGGGGGGGGGGTGAGGGGTGCGTTATGTGGGGGGGAGGGCGGGTGAGTGGAGGGGGAGAGGTAGGGGGAGGGGGGGGGGCTGGAGGAGGGGTGAGGGGGGGGTGGAATGTGGGGGGGGGGGGGGCGAGGAGGGGTTGGGGGGTGGGGGGGTGAGAAGGGGAGGCGGGGTGTAGGGGGGGGTGGGGGGCGGGAGGGCGGGCGTGTGCTGGAGCCTTTAAATCATTGCCTCATCTGCGAGGGAGGGTAAAAGCGGAGGGGGGGGGGTCGGGGGGTCGGGCAGGGGGGGGGGGGGGGGGGTTGGGGGGAGGGGAGCGGAGGGGGGGGGTCGGGGGGTAGGGCAGGGGGGGGGGTGGGGGTTTGGGGGGAGGGGTTGGGGGAGGGGTGGGTTTCTAATCGGTGGGGTGTGGCGGGGGGAAACAAACAGAGGGTCTTCACTGACGCCGCCCCGCTGTTGCTGGGGTCGGCGGATATAGGTGTGTGTGTGTGTGCAGAGACGCATGCACATTATCCTGCGTACCAAAAGTACTGAGCGTTGCACGTGTACGTAGGACAGATAGGCATACGCTTTGCCAGGTGTATTAAAGCTTGACATGCCGCGCAGGGAAGGCGCGTGGGCGACCTGGATGATACCTTCTCCAGGCAGTCTGTCACCGACAAGTGGCCCAGAGCCCAGATCAGCTGCTCTCTGTGTCAGCTTCCATGTCGCCTATCTGAAACCGAAAAAGCTCACGTTCTTCAATGGGCCAGCGTGAACTTGTGTAGCTGCTAAACTGGCTTCTCGGCAAGGTATGGTCTCATATGGGACTTGGAGGGAAACTCCTCATTCCTCAACTGGAGTGCGCCAGGGGTGTGGTTCCCGAAGCTTCTCGCAGTCGTCTCGCTACCAGCACGACTTCAGGTACAACTGTCGACTCCTGCCGTTTGGTCGGCCAGCGTGACGTGGCAGAGTGCAACATCACGGGACTTGACGGATGCTCAGTTTCAGCAGACAACAGAGCAAGATTCGCTGCCAATGCTTCTGACACCGAGATCAGCAACGCCTTGTACGACGTGCGGATTGCCGAGCGCTGTGTCGATTCTCGTGCAGACAGCCACTGGCTAGTGGTCCCCTCAGAGCGCTTTAGTCGCCAGCTTTTGGGCTAAGGATGTAGGTTTGGGTAGTCACGCGATGTAGATTTTCTCGGAATGCGTGAATGTGAAGGTCGCAACAGATTTTGGGTTATGTGAAGCCTACAAGCAGGGGTACATGCGCTGCCCTTTTTGAAAGCAGGCGCCGAATCTCGTAGAAGCCCTAAACCCTATCCCCCCCCCAACCCGAAACCTCAAACCCCAAACATCCGCAACCCCCCCCCCCCCCCCCCACAAGCCGTAAACACCATTCAAACTCGGACACCCAAATCCTGCACCCCAAACTCGCTCCCGTAAACCCTAAGCATTAAACCCCCAAACCTGAACTCTAAACCCTAAACCTTAACCCTTAAACGCATAAACGGAATTGAAGCAGAGCCCCAAACCCTGAACCCTGTAAACCTTAAACCCGAACAGCAACCCTAAACCCCAAACCTTAAACCCCAACCCTAAACCCTAAACCCTAAACCCTAAACCCTAAACCCTAAACCCTAAACCCTAAACCCTAAACCCTAAACCCTAAACCCTAAACCCTAAAACATAAACCCTAAACCCTAAACCCTAAACCCTAAACCCTAAACCCTAAACCCTAAACCCTAAACCCTAAACCCTAAACCCTAAACCCTAAACCCTAAACCCTAAACCCTAAACCCTAAACCCTAAACCCTAAACCCTAAACCCTAGACCCTAAACCCTAAACCCTAAACCCTCAAAAGGTGGAGCGGCTGAAGGCCACGATACCAGCTTGGGCCCTCGTGCCCTTGGGGCCCAACGCCGGAGACCTACACGGGAGGGGGGGGGGGTTTGCTATTTGGGGGTTTGGGTTTTTTTTTTGTTTTTTTTTTTTTTTTGGGGGGGGGGGGGGGGTTTGGGGTTTTTGGGGTTTTGTGGGTTTCGGGGGGTTTTGGGTTTTTTTTGGGTTTTGGGGGTTTTGGGTTTTTGGGGGGTTTTTGGGGTTGTGGCGGTTTTTGGGTTTTTGGGTTTTTTTGGGGTTTTGGGTTTTTGGGTTTCTTGGGGTTTTGGGGTTTTGGGGCTTTTGGAGTTTTGGGGTTTTTGGGTCTTGGGGGTCTTGCGGACTGTCTCCTTGAAGCTCCTTGGAGACAAACAACGTAGGACTGAATCACTGTGAATTCACTGGCCAAGCCTCTGACGGTGAAGGCGTCTGGCACTATTAAAGATCGTACACGCATCTCCGAACTCGAGCTGGTTAACCAGGGGAGCCCTAGGAGCAACGTACTGTGACTTAGCAAAATTTGGGGTTTGGGATTTTGGGGTTTAGGGCTCCGGTTTGGGGTTTAGGGCTTAGGTTTTTTGGGGTTTCGCGGTCGACATGCTTCGCTATGCGTAGTCTAGAGATCTGGACGTGCTGCGCTCGGGCGAAGCCCTTAGGCACCAAACCCTAAACCTCATGCCCGAACCCCAAACCAAGCCTGAAACCCCAAACCCTAAACCCTTTGCCCAGGCCCCAAACCCCAAACCCCAAACCCCAGACACAAGACCCCAAACCCCAAACCCCAAACCCCAAACCCCAAACCCCAAACCCTAAAACCTCAAACCCCAAACCCTAAAACCTCAAACCCCAAACCCCAAACCGCAAACCGCAAGCCCCAAAAACCCCAAACCCCATGAGGTCAGCAACGTCACGACCACCACCATGGACCTGGACTGGGCTTGGGCCTCTGCTGCCTTCTCTTAGAAAGGTTTGAGATTTAGGGTTTGCGGTTTAGGGTTTGGGGTTTAGGGTTTAGGGTTAAGGGCCTTAAGGGTTTAGGATGAAGGGTTTGGGGTTAGGGTTTGGGGTTTGGGGTTTGGGGCTTGGGGTTTAGGGTTCCGGGTGACGAGATCCTTGAAGCCCCAAATCCTAAACCCCAATTTCCTGAAGTTGGAGGGTTTTGGGATTTAGGTTCTGGCCTGGTTCATTGACCCAAATACACTCCTGGAGCCCCGACCCTTTAAGCCGTAGACTAAACTCCGTAAAACCCATTGAGGAAGCCTCCCCCCCCGTTAAGGCCCCAAACCCCATAAACCTTAAACCCTGAGCCCTAAACCCGAAACCCTAAACCCGAAACCCTAAACGCTGAACCCGAAACCCTAAGCCCTAAACCCGAAACCCAAACCCGAAGCCCCAAACCCTAAACCCTAAACTCGAAACCCTATACCCTCTACCCTAAACCCTAAACCTAAACCCTAAACCCTAAACCCTAAACCCTAAACCCTAAACCCTAAACCCTAAACCCTAAACCCTAAACCCCAAACCCTGAGGCTGCCAGTGAGCCCAGAGACTGCCTTTTCGGCTCCTGGAAGGTGGAGGCAAGTCTGGAGTTTAGGGTTCAGGGAGTTTAGGGTTTAGGGTTCAGGGTTTAGGGTTTAGGGTTTAGGGAGTTTAGAGTTTAGCGAGTTTAGGGTTTGTTTTAGGGTTTAGGGAGTTGAGGGTTTATTTTGGGTTTCAGGGAGTTCGGGGTTTAGTGAGTTTAGGGGTCCGGGGGGTTTAGTGTATCTCAAAGGGCATCTTGAAGCCGGGAAGGTGAAGCCCGCAGCCATCGCCGACGACGACTGGATTCCCGTGCCAGAGTGCTCCCTCCCGGATCGCGACGCCACATCCTGCCAGATCGTGCCTTGGCGACACCCAGAAAGGTTTTGGGGTTTAGGGTTAGGGTTTAGGGTTTAGGGCGTTCAGTGTAGGGTTTAGGGAGAAGGGTATCCTGAACCTTAAGCCCTAAAAACCCTATAAAGCCCTGACTCAAAGAGAGTCAGGGTTTAGGGTTTCAGGGTGGTGGAGCCAGCCAGGTGGGCTTGCAAAGCTACACGACCTACAACATCCGAATACAAGAGACCTGCATCCATGCGACCAGCGACAGTCCGGAACCCCAGCTCTCTTTGGTCCACACGAGGGCAGCCTTGCCTCTTTAGGGTTTAGGGTTTAGGGTTTAGGGTTTAGGGTTTAGGGTTTAGGGTTTAGGGTAGCCTGGAGCGCTTCTGCCTTGAGGCCCATACCTGCTGGAGGAGAACTCGTTCACCACTCTGGCAAAGCCCCTAGAAACTCTGCTTGGCGGGTCGAAGTAACGGAAGTTGCAGCAAGCACTGAGGGCTGCCACCCCTAAACCCTAAACCCTAAACCCTAAACCCTAAACCCTAAACCCTAAACCCTAAACCATAGACCCTAAACCCTAAACCCTAAGCCCTCAACCCTAAACCCCAATCCATAAACCCCATAAACCCTCTCAGAACATCTTCTGTTCGCTTATCGGAGGTGCCTGGGTGGGGTCTCCGACCAGAACGGCCCCAAAGCCCCAAAGCCCCAAAGCCCCAAAGCCCCAAAGCCCCAAAGCCCCAAAGCCCCAAAGCCCCAACTCCCCAACTCCCCAACTGACCCTCTTTCTTGAGGTCGGGGAGGTCATCTATGTCGGCACGAATCCGGACACCAACTCCAAGGCCATCTTCTTCGGGTCGAGAGGTCTCAACGCACGGGGCCCGGGGGGTCTGAGTGGCTTTCGGGTTTGTTGGGGGTTTCGGGGGGGGGGGTTTCGGGTTTTAGGTTGTGGGGGGCCCTTCCATGGTACCTGAGGGTTTAGGGTTTAGGGTTGGGATGTTCCCCCTTATGCGAACGGTCCTTACTAGAGATGAAGGTACCCGATTATTATTCCCCATTAAGGACGGGACTTAGTTAAGGAATATTCCTTGAGATATGAAAGGGTTCCATATACGGTTTAAGGAATACAGTAGAAGCCAAACAGTTGGAAACTCAATAGCCTCAATCCAGAAGAGTAAAGTGCAGGGAATCCCAGCACTATTTGTCCTTAACAAGGTTTCCAACTTTTTGGGGTTTAAGGAATAGTCCTTAGTTCAGGGGTATTGAAGTCCCTGGGTATGACCCCGTCGAACCTGCGAACTGATGATGAGAGTTGTGGGGCCTTTGGGCCTCACACACTTGCGAGATGTCCCCCGAATGGACAAGGAATCCCCCCCTCCCCCTAACCCTAAACCCTAAACCCTAAACCCTAAACCCTGGACCCTAAACCCTAAACCCTAAACCCTAAACCCTAAACCGTGCGACTTGCTCGGACCGCTGAAGCGCCTCCAGCACGTGAGATTGAGGCCTGCGCCTATCACACGAAGTGCTGCGCGGACGAGTTCTCACTCTGTTACAGCAGCCAAGAGGCGCGCGCCATCTTGGATAGACAATATATAATGTAGCCTAGACGATAATATATATATATATGTATATATAAATATGTACATATATATATGTATACATACACATACTGCAATATGTGATAATACAAGCCGTTCAGCCTTTCGCCGTTTTCAGGTGGATGTCATCCGCACAGATTTGCCGGATGCCGGCTGGGGGCAGGTCGGCACTCGCCGGTTTAGGGTTTAGGGTTCAGGGTTCAGGGTTTAGGGTTCAGGGTTTAGGGTTTAGGGTTTAGGGTTTAAGGTTTAGGGTTAGGAAGACACCCGGGGGCCAAGAGCGAGTGCCTGCGGCCTAAAAGGACCTGTACCTCTCTTGCGTGGCGGACTCGGCGGGAGCCTGAGAAGCGTCTTCGGCTGCTGCGCGTTTTTTGGGTTTCGTAGGGATGTGGGGGTTTTCCGACATTAAATGAACATGCATTTGGGGGGTTAAGTTAGGGTTTAGGGTTTAGGGTACCCTATTGGGGTCCTTACAAGGGAATCCTACTATTTGGGGGTCTATTTTGGGGGTCTGCCATTTTCGTATCCCCGCATGTGTGTTTCTGGTTGTGACCGAAAGCACTTCCAGCATTTCATGCCAAACTTGCCTTTGTAAGGCGGGTCAAACAAGAGCAGTGCGACTTGCCTTCGCGCAGGTCCTGCCTACCCCTTTTTTAAGGCTTCTTGTGTTGCCCCCCTGCCCTCTCCGCAACTGGGGGTATCGGAATAAGGGACCCTAACATGGTCCCCCAATAATAGGATTCCCTTATCATAAGGACCCCAATACAAGGTACCCCTAATTTCGGAAACTCCCATATGGGTATTCCGCAAAAGATGGGCACCCCCATAGGTGAGCCCTGAAGAGTCGAATATATTGTTTCAGAAGCCACATACTTACGAACGGCTCAACTGCTAACTTTCTTTGTGATATTTCTAGGATCTGTTTTGCATAAACACCAAACGGTTGTTTGCTTGCCGTGTTTTGATTCTCCCAGTTGCTGAGCTTGTAAAAAATCTATGGTGTCTCGAGCTTGCGTGGAGTACTGGTCTGGAGCTCACGCAGAAAGCAAGCAGCCACAACACAACATGAGCAGCGCAGAGTATGGCCAAACTCGGATATACGTCCTCAGCCGGAAGACCAGTGAGGTGCCCCAGGCAGACATGAAACGCATCGTGGCCCACCCGCCTGCAGTGCGCCTGCCTTACGTGGGAGTCTAATTTGGGATGTAAGGGGCTTAGGATTTAGGGTTTAGGAGTTAGGGACTTGAAGATTCGATACGGGGCCGTCTTCAATTTCGCACTCAAGGGTCTGGAGTGGTGTGTGTGATAGGGGTTTGCACAAGAGGTCACCTGGATCGTCCCCTTCTGTGTGTCGTACAGCATGTGAGGGATTGATCGACATGATGGACGAGTTGTTGTTGCTGCCCTGAATGAAGAAGAGCATGCTCCAAATACCCATATGGGTATTTCCCCAAATAGTGGGTACTCTTCATTTACCCCCAAAACAGTATAAGCCTCATTATAGGAACCCCAAAAGGGTGCCCCTATTATTGGAAACCCCATGTTAATGTGACAGACTGGGGGACAGACGGATGTGACAGAATCGACCGCGAGGAGTCATAGGCACACCAACAAACCTCAAACACCAGGGACGGTAACAGGACTATTAGCCCATACTATCCCTAAACCCTAAACCCTAAACCCTAAACCCTAAACCCTAAACCCTAAATCCTAAACCCTAAACCCTAAACCCTTAAGGGATATTCAGGCTTCTTCTGGCTCATGATTACTATTGTAGCAAACGATGTGAATAGTCGGTAGCCACAGTCTCTTTTAGGCTGATGATTTGTGATTTATGAAACATTCTTACAAGTTGTTCCCAATTCTTATGACTTTCTCAAAAGTATGCTTAACCCCTAAGCCCTAAACCCTAAACCCTAAACCCTAAACCCTAAACCTTAAACCCTAAACCCTTATCGATCTTCGGTCCTTCCAAGCTGGTGGTGTAAGGTGTTGGAAATTGGACGACAAAATGCCCTAAACCCGAAGCTCCGGGATGCCCTAGCACCCAAAAAACCTTTAGGGTTTAGGGTCTAGGGTTTAGGGTTTAGGGTTTAGGGTTTACACCCCAAGCTCTAAAAGCGCGAAAGATTCAGAACCCTGAACATCCTCGATTTCCAGACCCTAAACCCCAGACCTTAAACCCTACTAGAACGCCCCTAAGCCTTAAACCCCTAAACCCTCAACCACCCTAAACCCTAAACCCTAACCCTAAACCCTAAACCCCAAACCTCAAACCCTAAACCCACGCTAAACCCTAAACCCTAAGCCCTAAACCTTCAATCCAGGCTTGAAGCCGTGGGTCGCACGGCGAACGTGGACATGCCTCGCTTGCTCTATACATATGTATATATATATATATATATGGGCTGAGTAGTATCCCCCCCTACATTTCTGCAATTCTACAAAAAGTCTACGGTTATTATACTTGTTTACACACCTGTAACGAGATAAAGTTTATAAACCTCATAAACCTTCTCCATGTGTGATATTATTAAGTGAGCATGATAATTTTCAAGGTTATGAAAAACACTGGGATGTTCACGTATTGAAAGACTAAATTACACTTGTTGTGTGCGGCACCTCTATATTGTCCTGCAAAGTGGCAGTGGTCGTGACTTTAGTTTGTGCGTGGTCTTCCGGGTTGAACTTATATACCACCGCATGGAAAACAATGGGTTTCTTGTTTATGTTGTTCCCCTTGCTTCTCTGTCCAATCAATCCTTTTGTTCCTTCATCTTGTCCATAATCTCTGTTGGAAATTTATTAATGGTTGATCATCATCTATCCAAACAATCTTCACCTCTGTAAATATGGTGTTGCTTCGTTTGTTGCGCTTCTAGCAACATTTAACATAGGACTGCACGGTGTATGATGTTGGTAAGTCCCCTTTAACAAACTTAGGTCACTTTCGTTCACGCAAGTCCCCTTCGGACACTTAGGTTCACTTTCGTTCACGCAAGTCCCCTTCGGACACTCAGGTTCGTTCACTTTCGTTCACGTAAGTGCCCTTAATTCCATCAGTTGATGGCGCTTTTTAACACTCAAAGTCACCATAAATAACATTCGGGCGCTTAAGGTTTCTTGTAATGCTTTTGGACGGCATTCCTATTTGTTGAATTTCGTGTGCCATACATCGTTTTTATTACGTGGCTGTTAAGTAGGGTTTCTTTGTTAAACCATGCTGACAGTACATACAGTGACACAATCTTCTACCAATTGACCTGTTTTTATCCTTGATGAAAACACAGTGGTTGTTCTTCTCTTCCTCCACTGGCGCTAGCTTAGCATGACACGATGGACTTTACTTTTTGAAACTCTATGGGCTACTATGCTACTGGTGCCGTTACTATCAATGGCATACACGTTAGCTGATCTCGCTCTGTCATTTATTTCTTCAAAAGTGTCAATGTCTTCAGTTGATGCTGGAAATTCCACACCATCCTGGTTTATTCAATTGTCATGTTGATTTAGTTTGTTGTAATGATACTTCCTCTCTCATTATCTCATAAAATCTGGATTGGACACAGTATTTGAAACAATAATCGTCGTCGTTCTTAATATTAATACAGGCCATTTTAGTAGCAACCCACTTAGGGAATTCAATATATTTACCTGCTCTTCTTGGGTTGTATTTGTCATAATGAATTCTTATACTTTCAGCTTTATTTACTGTGTAACCCGACTTTCCTAAGTGTGAGTTATCCACCACTTAATTTCTATGTCTAATGCCATATTATAAATTGCTGTTTTAAATTCGTCGGGGTTGTTGATTGTATCAATTCTGCTTCCTATTTGTATGTTTGGGGTTCTTCATGTTCTGGATGGTTAAAGGAAGCATCAACATCCATTCTAATGTTCATGTTGTTGTTGCTACCTAGAAGCTCTTTGAGTCCTTCTTCCTGATATTTGAAGTGCGATAAGCCCTTGCCGCCTTTGAGTTTAATACTAGATATTGAATATGAATTAGCATAGCGTTTGAAAGAAATTGTTTCATCTGCAACCCCTGCTGCTCTACTAGCAACATATGTCTTCAATGCCTTTCTCATTGCTATGCCTTTCGTTGCCGCCTTTAATATATCATTTCTTTTAAAACCCTGTGTTTTGGATACTGTCTTGAGTTTCCTCTTTGATGTAATTGAAGGTGGTTTTTCTTTTATTATATGTTTATTCCTTTTCATCTATAGCAACCTTGTCGAGTTGTTTGTTCCGGCGCATTTTTATGCTGCCTATGCGATTACTATGTAAATAGTCCATTATATAATCATAATCCGGTTCTGCCATGTACTATATAGTCGTTTCTTCAATAAATTTCTTTTGGGTAGGGTTTTGGGTTGGCGGGTTGGGGTTCGCGGTCTGGGGTTGGAACGTGACGCTCGGGTTGGCGTGTTAAGTCCGTCCTTTGGAACCCCGCCTAAGTTTCTGCACCCACCCGCAAACAGTGTCCCCAACATATTTTTTGGTGGCCCCGACACCAAAAGCAGGTGGAAGTTAAATAAGTTAAACGACTTAGCTTATTTAACTTGCAGCATCTTTTGGTTTCGGGGCCACCAAATTAGAAAATTATTTATAGTACTTAAGTGAGGTTATTATCGCACCAAATTTTCACCATTTCACCGTGTCACCATTTCACCATTTCACCATTTCACCATTTCACCATTTCACCATTTCACCATTTCACCATTTGATTTGGCCCCATGGTCACGCCATTTCACCATTTTGCCATTTTACCATTTCACCATTTCACCATTTCACCATTTCACCGTTTCACCGTTTCACCATTTCACCATTTGACCATTTGACCATTTGACCATCTCACCATTTCACCAATTGAGGTGGCCCCATGGCCAGGCCCCTTGACCGTAGGGCCAAACCAATTGGTGAATTGGTGAAATGGTGAAATGGTGAAATGGTGACATGGTGACATGGTGAGATGGTGAAGTGGTGAAATGCTGAAATGGCCTGACCATGGGGCCAAATCAACTGGTGAAATGATGAAATGATGAAATGGTGAAATGGTGAAATGTGGATTGGTCATGCTGAAGTGGCCACGAAAAGCAGGGGGGGGGGGAGGGGGCGGGAGGGGTGGAGGGGGATATTAGTTTATCCATATGTATCTGTATCTGTATATGTATATATACGTATATATATACACACACACACTAAGATTAAGACTGATATGAATAACAATAATATCAAGGTGCATATGTAATTCGGACATAGCCTAGCATGTGGACCTCTCTCATGTTTCCTATTGGGATGCCCCTAAAGGTAAGGCTCCATGTGCGACAACAGGAACCCTTGAAGCGAACCCTAACTCAGAAAACTGACAGACGATCTGCCGCGAGAACATGAGGGAAAAAACCCTAAGCGCCCTAGAACCGACAAGTGGCTCTCTCCCTACTACTAACAAAGAAGATGGGGCCTTCGTAGCTACATTTACAAAGTGTTGGGGGAGACGAATGGCTTGGGGGGAGTAGGCCCTGTAATGCATGCTTATGACATTCAAGTCTGCTATGATATGCTGGAACGTGCTGCAACACGGTGTACTCCACTACCAGAGACGACAATCTACTTAAAGGATCCGGGGACTTGGGAAGTCGGGTTTTGGGTAAGGTAGCTTGACGTATCATTCCTTATAAGCCCAAGTGAGGTCCTTATAACCCTACTTGCTAAGTGCCCCGGTCCTCCGAGTAGGGTCCCTGTATATACCCTTTAAAGGATTATGTAGGGTACCTCATTCCCTCATTCCCTACTAAGAAGCAGCCAGATGATAGCACACCAGAATCTATACGGCCTCCTCAATGCCAGTCGCTCGATCTCGTTTGGCTGCCCTTTGGCTCTGGCGGGAGCCGCGCTTGGCTTTGGGGTTTGGGGTTTAGGGGTTTAGGGGTTCGGGTTTCGGGTTTAGGGTTTAGGGCCCAAGCCCTGAAAGCCTTAGCCCCAAAACCCCGACCTCGAAACCCTAACACTCCGAAGGCGGCTTTCAGGGTTTCGATTCTCATTGTGTATTTCGGGTTGGCCGGGCTTTCCTACCAGCAATCGCACGGTTTTGTGTTGAGGCTGCAGGCACACGGTGGGTTGGGGTTTGGCGGAATCGGGTTTAGGGCGCATTTCAGGTTGTCTTCCGTGGAAGCTCTACTACAAGCGGCCACCTGATGCCTCTCCTCTGGTTGGAATACCCTAGGAACCCTAGACTCTAAACCCTAAACCCTGAGCCCTGAACTTGTATGCGTTAGTCCGCACCACTGAGGTACATGAGCGACTGCTACTGCTCCGAGTGGAACATCTTCGTGCGTCGGCAAGGCGCAGCGCCCATCCCAGGGCCTTGTCGAGCAGCTTAAAGCCCAAGCCTTGGATCCTAAACCCCCTAAACCCTAAACCCTAAACCCTAAACCCTAAGCCCTAAACCCTAAACCCTGAACCTTAAGTCCTAAACCCTAAACGCTGAACCCTAAACCCGGCCCCAAGCCCAGCCCTAAACCCCAAACCTACAATGATGCAAACACGGCCATCTGGGGTTGGGGGGGTGTGGGGCTTTGAGAGTGGTTCCTGAGGATCATGGGGTCCAGGTTTGGCTTTTCGGCTTCAGATTTGAGAGTTTTGGGGTTCTTAAACCCTAAACCCAAAACCCTAAACCCCAAACCCCGAAGGCTTAGGGTTTGGGTGGTCGTGCAGCTGCACATGTCAGGCACTACTGAGTGGCTACTCTCTCCAGACTGCCGGCCTGACCTGTGGCAGCTTACAGCCCAAGTCGCCACTGCAGTGCCAGTCTGGATTTGGGGGTGTCCCAGAATTTGGGGTATCCTTTGTTGGGGAAATCCAAAAATAGGGCGAATGTGTCTTTTGGGGGAGAATCGGGGTTCCCTGCAGGGCCTAATCGATCCTTGTGCCAGGCAGGAACATGCCCTTCTCACAAAGCAGCTGCACGGTGCAGACTCTTGAAGACAACTGGCTCGCTCCAGATGGGCCCTTAGCTTCCTGCGCATGTGCCAACGTGCAACGATTTCATCCTTCGGGTTCAGGGTTTAGGGTTTAGGGTTTAGGGTTCGGAGTTTAAGTTCTTCGTCTCATGCTGTGTGGTGTCACGGGTGGAAGGTTCCGGCCTCTTTTGAGACCTGGCTTTGCTTCCTCCCTAAACCCTAAACCCTAAACCCTAAACCCTAAACCCTAAACCCTAAACCCCAAACCCTGAACCCTAAACCGTGCGCACGTGCGCTTGCTGACTCAGAACACCGTCTACGAGATTCGCGTGCGCCAAACTTGCAGCCGGGTCCCTGTGAGGAGCTTCGAGTCGCTGCCCCCAAGCCCTGAGCCCGAAAAGCCTAAAAACCCTAAACCCTAAACCCTAAACCCTAAACCCTAAACCCTAAACCCAAACCCTAAACCCTAAACCCTAAACCCTAAACCCTAAACGCTAAACCCTAAACCCTAAACCCTAAACCCTAAACCCTAAACCCTAAACCCTAAACCCTAAACCCTAAACGAGCCGTTCATGCTGAACAGCGCTCATCCTTTACAGCCCATGTCACACACTCGGACCCAGAATGGGCCGTTTTTCCCTCTTTTTCGGGTTTAGGTTCCCTTATAACCCCTTTAAACCAAGCTACCCTTCTCATTTCTAGGTTACTCTTGTGCCCAAACCTCGTCCAAAACGAGGGCCTTACTCCTAAGAGATGTAGCTACCCACAAGAACTACAGGCAAGGCACCATATCGGGGCTCCACTTTCCAGACCCTCCCATAATTCGAGGCAACCGAAGCCAATCGGTCAACATCCGCAACGATTCTTGATCAGTTTGGCACTGGCTGCTGCGGGGTCAGATTGCAGACGGCCCGCCGTTGCTTAGAGCCAGCCCCTGCTACGGAGTAGGTGGTCTCCGGGTCAAGTTGTGGCTGTTTCCTCAACTCGGGGATATGTACTGCAAGGTGCTATGCTCCTTCATCACTCCCCCCCCCCCCCCTGAATGTTAGGAAGCAACCTTTCAAAGGGTACTAAACCCTAAGCCCCTAAAGCCTAAACCCTGAACCCTAAACCCTAAACCCTAAACCCTAAACCCTAAACCCTAAACCCCAAAAGCACTTTTGGGGGGGGGGGGGGGGGAGTGAAGCCCTGCAAAGAAAAGGCTTCGATCGCCTTAGCAGCCCGTACAAGGAGATCCAGGCAGGGCCTCGTGCAGCTTTTGGGGGGCAGAAGGGTGTGGTTTAGGGTTTAGGGTTTAGGGTTTAGGGCTTATTCGTGGCTTGGTGCCTTGGGTTTCGAGTTTCTTTTTTGTTTTTCGTTTTCTTTCGGGCTTGGTGTGGACTTTGGGTTTTGTATCGAGGAACCATGACAACCTATGCCCTGTGCCTTCCAAACGACTACACGTGACCACTCCAAAGACCCCCCAGAGCCATTATTCTTCATATACAGCAATTAGATGATTCAAACAAGCAAGGAATGAATATATCTTGACATGTTCCCCCCTGATACTAGCAGTCCTTAGTCGGCAGTAATGAAGTCATGCAGGTCCCCACGTTGCCCGGATGCAGCTTCTCTCAGCACAGCGGTCAAGACGACTACTTCGTGTGCGCGGACCGCTTCCAACGTGTTCTCCAGTGCCGGGCATGGGAAGTTTCTGAGACTGGGAGCTTGGTAGCCTGAATTTTGAAGGGGTTTAGGGTTTAGGGTTTAGGGTTTAGGGTTTGGGGTTTAGGGTTTGGGGTTTAGGGTTTCGGGTTTGAGGTTTAGGGTGAGCCTTGCCGCAGGATGGCTTCTTCAGCTTCATCTTCGACGGCGGCCGGTTTGATGGAGACGGAACTGGCTGCTGGCGACGTGGGAGGGCCCAGCTGCCATGACCGGGGTATTTCCCAAAGTAGGGGGTACCCCGTTAATACCCCAAATAGAATCGAATCCCCCTTACTGGGACGCCCAAAACGGGTACCCCTATTTTCGGCGCTGCAGCGTACCCATAGCTCCTCTCGCATGGTGAGCTGGCAGCCGCGCATCTTTCCGACAATAACCGACCATGCAAGAAGTCACAACCACCCTGCCTTTCTTCAGGCGGTCTTGCCTGTGAGCATGTCCTTGGACTCGGGGTTTCTCTGCTTGCTTGTTGATGATAGCGAGCTTGCAGGTGGTGGACGAGCCCGCTGTGCCAAGAATTTTCCCTACATGCCGGGTCCCAAGAGGGCCAAGTCTTCCAGCCCCCGCCAGGTTTTTTGCACTCGAATGGTGTTTCTCGTACCTCTTCAAGCTACCAGTTGCCCAACAGTGCGTCGGATTCAGCCCCCCCCCCCCCCCCTTTGAAACCCCAAGGCCGCCGATCCCCTTCCTCTAAGCCGGGGGGTGCTTTTGACAAGGTGTGCCAGTCCGGATAGCTGCGCCAAGGCCAGTGGGCAGACCGCGCGAGAGACCCTAAAAACCCACAGCTATCCCTAACTTGTGTTTTTTTTTGATACCCTCAAGTACAAGGAAGATGGCAAAAACACCCAGAGCAGGCCCTACACTTGTACCCCAAACCCCTAAGCTCTTGACCTCAAGGAGTATGCAAACATGGAGCCCATCACCCCAAAGAGGGGCCCCAGGGGTTGCAGGGGGTTGACTTGAAGGTTCATGATGGGGAGTTGTTAAGTGGGGTTGCGTTCTAAACAAGGTTGTCACCATGTATAACTCTATTTGCGGGATTGTAAAGCCCCAAACCCCAAGTCTCCGAACCCCTTAAACCCCCCTAAACCCCCAAACCCCCCCCCAACCCCCCCCCACCCCCCAAAAAATTACTAAAAGGGGGATTCTCAGGACTTACTCATCATTCGTTGCCCCCCTCCGCTGTTATTTCAATTCCTAACATACCTTCTTCATTTTCTTCCCCCTTCCACCTTATTCACTTTCCAGAAGGGGTTTCTAGGGTTTTTCCCGAATATTGCCCTTTTACCCACGGTTTTCAGCATTTTTTCATCATTCATTCCACCCTCATTCATTTTTCAACTCCACTCCCCAACATTCATTCCAATATTCCTACCACCGCCCTTCATTCATTTCCCCTAATTTCCATCCTACTTTTCCCAAGCTCCCTAACAATATTCTTACCAAAGTTCCCGTTGCTTGAAGTCTTTTAACCATCATATTAATTATTTTAATATGATAGTTATCTAATCCATTTCATCTAAATTCAAATACAGATTTTATTTCCATAATTCAATATTTTCTTTACAACATTCGATACTCTTCAACTTACAGCTTTTGTCAGATATCTTTTTTGACAAGTCAAAATAGCACGATGACTTTTTATTAAGCCACACAGCAAGTTCTTCTGAATTATCTTCATCTAATGCTTCTATTCTGCTACTATACTTAAATATTTTCTTATAAATATTGTCTATGTCCTCATTTAATTCTTCAAGTTCAATTTCATATATTTTCAGTTCTTCTTCTTTCTCCTTAATACGTTTCTCGCTCATTGCACTAATATTATAGGGCGTTTTGTCTTTAAGTCATTTTATATTTTCAATCAACCAACAACAACTCGTGTCTATTATAGTGCTTTTCCCTACCTTCCAAAAGATAATATTTATTAAGTTGTGGGTCTCTTTTTACTTCCTTGACTTCATAAGTTCTTTCAGACCATTGACTGCGTGTCTCTTTCCTGCTGGTATAGTTGCCTTTGCCTTTATCAAAAACTTTAACCTTATCTCCGACTTCAATCTTTGGATATCTCCTTAAATACTTTTCTTTCAACACTGTGTTAGCCTTAACTTCAACAGAATTATCGTCTTTATGTGCTTCGTCTGGTATCATTCCAGTTGTTGAATGAACCATCTTTTTATTATACTTATCCATAACAGGTTTTAATAATATAGTCCAAGCCCCTTTTGTTTGTAAAGCTCTATCACCAATCATCTTTTTAAATGTTCTAATCGCTCTTTCTGCTACATTAGCGTGAGTTAGTGTTACAATGTGCGTAATACCCTCACCTTTGAAATAATCCTGCAATTTCTTATAATTAAATGCTCCATCGTGGTCAGTATAAATACTTTGCGGTTGTCCTAATACTTTGAAACATTCTAGGAAAGCTTTATAAACATCTTCTCCATCTTTGTTTTCCATCGGCACTACGTGAGTTTTCTTACTAAAATTATCAATACAAATCAAACCGTATCTTTTATATTCTTCTTTAAAGGTGTCAGTGTCTTTCATCAAACTAGTCGTATCCATAATATCAATAGAATAAACAGCTCTCGCAAAAGGAGGCGAATAACTGTTTGAATTTTTATAGTTTCTTCTTTGTTTGTTAGGTTGTTTTTTAACCCACTCCTTAACTTCATCTAGCGTTATTGCAAGACCATCTTTCTTCGCTTCTTCATACAAATTTCTAACGCTTCCATAACCCCTTTCTAAATCATAATATATCTTTTCCAGAACTTCGTTTTTATTCATATTTAATATTAATAATATTTTATTAATATTAAATCATCCAAACAAAACCTTTCTTACAATTCGTTCTCCTAATTCTGCCTGTCTCTTTTCTTCCGAAAGTCTTTGACACTTAACGCTTTTGTAATGCTTACTTCTTATTGTGTTTGTTGATAGCATACTACCACATCTTTCACATTCATATTCGTGACTGTTGTTTTTAAAGTAATTCTTAAAATATCCTTCTTCTCTGTATTTTGCATTTAAACGGTCATTATGAGATTTCTTCTTCAACTTCCTTTGAGCCATTACTTCATCATTTGATTCAATTGAGTTCCACATTGCATCAAACAAGTCTTCATCAATACATAATTTTTCTCCATTTTCTGAAACAAGAAAAGAGTTCATTTATCTTATCTATTAAATATAAATATTTCTTTAAGTGATTTTTCTTTTCGGATAAAAATCATTTGAAAGAAATATTTATTTATCTACTTCTTCCTGACGAACTCCTAGACCTTATGTATTCAATAGTCCTTTCCGAACTGGCAACACTAACGGGATTTGAACTTTGTAAATATTCCACTGTTCTATCTGATGGCACTGAACTTTGAACTGTTTCCGGAGGGCTAGATTGAACATATTCACTCAATGCCCCTTCTTCAATTGGTAACAATGCACTTCTTCCAGAACTTCGTCTTGAACTTGATGAAGATGATGATGGTTCATAAGATTTTTTAACATTCATCGGTAAAGAAGAACTACTCGCTTGGCTTTCTTCTGTTGCTAAACGCTCTACATTCTCCTCATCTTCTTCCTCTTCTCTTTGCTGTCGTTGTTCTCTCATTCTTCGTAACTCTTCTCTTCCTTCTTCGTATTCATCATCTCCGAACATACTATCAAACAATCTTCTCATCAAACTTTTTTCGGTTTGCTTCCTTTTTGTTTTTCTGCTTGTTGTTCAACTGATTTCGCACTGCTTACTATACTAGATGCTTCACTCACTTCTTCCTTCACTGCTTCTTCGGGTGTTCTCATACTTTCACTAACAGAAGAATTTGAAGAAGAAGCTATATTAAAATCCGTCTGTGTTGCTTTATTTGGATTATCATTATTGTTAATATTTATTCTCTTATCATAATTACTTAAATCAAACTCATCAAAATCAACATCATCTAGTAAAATACCCATTAAACTTCTTCTTTCTCTTTCCGGTAATACTTTTAACCTTCTCGTTCTAGCTTCCTTTAACATGTGCTCATATGTAGGGCGAAGTTTAAGCATTCTATATATTTGTTTATATAATACTTGCTAATGCATCTTGCGCTACTGCGAGAGCTACGTCTTTTGCAACTTCTTTACCTGCATTTAAAACCGCACCACCTACTGCTTTTGCTCCACTAGCAATAGCTGAACCAATGCCACCACTTGAAGAAGCGCTTTCTTGATTTGTAGGTTTCTTTTTCATCATTTTTCTCATTTCTCTAAATTTCTTTGCTTCTTGTTTAACTGTCTTACCTGCGAAGCCTGATTGTTGCCATTCCGCTGTTTCTTTCAAGCCTTCAATGATGGAAACCAGATACTGCTTCTTTCTCTGTTCGTTTGGCAACTTGTCGGTTAATTCCATTATTTCGGGCGACAACAAATCGCGAACATATAATTGAAACAACAAACCTGTTGATTTAATGTCTTGATTATTGATAAGATTGTCTGGGTCAAAGTCTCCTACCAATCCTATTTTATCGGTTAGGCTTCCTTCATCTTCTTCTTCCTCGTCACGGCTTCGCCCTGAGGGCGAACTTCGTTCGCCGTCACTAACAGACTCTAAATCTGGCATTTTATCACTACCTTCGTCAGAAGCCATTGAATGAACCGGAACACCTACTGGTAATGATTGAGAATGAACGTCAGCTAAATCACTACTAGCGCTACTAGTAGCCCTGTCTCTTGCTTTTTGTGTTTTCTGATTGTGAGCGTCTATTTCCGATTGAACTCTGGCTATTTCCTCAGCGATAAAATCGTCAACGTCATAAAACTCAACTTCCCTAGGTGTATTGATACCACTTGCAGAAACGCTACTTGAAGTAGCAGATAAAACACCCATTGATGAGCCCGTTGCCATTGACCTCAGTCTTAATTGCGCTTGTCGCATTTCGTTTTTGACCTTGTCTTCTTCCTGCTTCTTCAAACCTAGAAAATCAACGTTGTCAAACTGACTTCCGAACTGATTGTTTCTGAATATCGTTGCTCGTCTGTCAATAATGTTTTCAATTGAGGGTCTGTTCGGGTCTCCTTGACTTTCAATCATTCCTATCATTTCATCATACGTTGGACGTAATTTTAATTCAGATTTCAATGTTTTAATCATATTATTAACTTAGATTATATTTGCTATAATATTTTTTAGGTCAGATTGTCGTTTTTGTAGCTCTTCCTTTGTTCTAACCGGCATCATAGGTCTCTCTAACTGTCTGTTAATACTATCCAGTTCTCCTTGGTAAAGGCTCTTCTTCTGGTGTTCCAGCCAGTCATTCCTTAACCTAATGTTCTTGCCTCGGTTCTCCGCCTCTTCAATTCTTAACTTCATATCCTCTAAATATTTTAACCTACTAGAAACCCCGATTGAACTGTCTAAATCGTAATACCTGCTAACTTGGGGCGCACGCTTGAACTCTGCTTTGCTCTTCCACATACTCATATTATATTTAATAATAGATATTTATTATTAAATATAATTAATTTTCTTTCATTTGTTTTTTTCTCGCATAGTATTGTCTGTTGCTTTCACGAACCTTTTCTCTGTTGTTGTTTCGGTATTCTCGTGCTCGTGCTTGTTCTCTTTCTTTATTATTTTGATAATATTCTTTTTTCTGTTGCTTAATATCTTCTTTGTTTTCATCATAGTAAATTTTAATCTTGTCTTGTATCTTCTCTTTGTTTTCATTTCGATAATGCTTAGCATATTCTAGCTTCGCATC